TATCCCGGGGTCGCCACAGCAGAATAAGCCACCAACTAATCCAGCACATGTTTTACGCAGCGGATGCCCTTCCAGCCTCAACCCATAACTGGGAAACACCCATACACACTCATACACACACACACTCATACACTAGGGGCGATTTAGTTGAATAATTCCTCTATAGCGCATGTGTTTGGACTTTGGGGGAAACCGGAGCACCTGAAGGAAACCCACACCAACACGGGGAGAACATGCAAATTCCACTCGGAAATGCCAACTGACCCAGCTGGGGTTCAAACCAGCGACCTTCTTGCTGTGAGGTGACAATGCACTATGTCACTGTGACGCTAAGTATTGTTTTTATACAATGCTATGTTTTCAATTGCAACATTTTTTCCCCATTTCATTGCATTTCAATCAAATACCCAAAGTTTCCGCGATTCGTATTCACGCTGCAGACAGAACCAAGTTTTCCAGTAAACTCTAAACCGTGCAGTGACACGAACACGTGAGCGATAATGAAATGAACACAAGCGGCACACTTCCAGGAACACTGCCTCCTTCGCTCCGTCTGCATGCAGCTTAATAATCAAACACATTTTCCAATCAGAAATCTGGCAAGCGAGTGCTCCTGTCAGAGTTGGCCCGCCCTTTGGGCAAGTATGCTAATCAGCATTTATTTCATTTGACAAAGACAACACACGGATGCGGAGCTATTAAATATGCAGCTCTGTTTGAGTGCCGTAGCCAGCGGCGGAGCTTCTCGATTTGTCCTCATCCATAAAGAGCCTGGACTGATAGCATGAGCAGAGATGAAGAGCGCTTCTCATCTGCCTTACTGCTTTACTGCTTCTGTCTCACTCCGCCTGTTTATGCTAATTAAACACAAATTGTGTGTGTGTGTGTGTGTGTGTGTGTGTGAGAGAGAGAGGGAGAAAAATATACTGAAGCATTACAAGTTCACCGGTATGGGAGCAAATGCAATTCAGTCTTCTTGATGAAACTTTTGACATTGCATATTGTTGGTTTTGTAGCTTAAAGTTTAAACACCCAGCAACCACAAAAGTGAAAGCTTCTCAACCACACACAGCACAACTTCAGTAACTGAACCGTATCACCTTGGCAACCACATAGGACACCCTATTAATAGCAAAGCTCACCTTGTCAACTATAGAGAACACCTTAACTGCATAGTGACACCTAGGCAACCACACACAGCACAACTTAACTGCACAGCAACACATTGGCAACCACACAGATCACCCTATCAACTGCATAGCAACACCTTGGCAACCACACAGAACACCCTATCAACTGCATAGCAACACCTTGTCAACAACACAGAACATCACAACTGCATAGAAACACTTTGTCAACCACACAGAACATCTAAACTAAACAGAAACACACTGGCAAACACACAGAAAACCCATAACTACAGAGCAACATCTTGTCAACAACACAGAACAGCCTAACTGCATAACAACACCTTGTCAACCACATGGAACACCCTAAGTGATAGTGACACCCTGTCAACACCACAGAACATCTTTCAGAACTGACAACACCTTGTCAACCATACTGAACACCCTAACTGCATAGCAACACCTTGTCAACAACACAGCACACCCTTAACAATAGTGATATCTTGTCAACAACACAGAACAACCTAACAGCATAGCAACATCTTGTCAGCAACAAAGAACACCAGAACTGCATAGTAACACATTGCCAAACCCACAACACACCCTAACTCAATAGCAGCACATTGGCAACCACACAGAACACCCCAACTGCATGATGACACCTTGGCAACCACACACACAGCATAGCTTAACTGAATAGAAACACCTTGGCAACCACACAGAACACTAATAACTATGTAGGAACATCTTGTCAACCACACACAGCACACCCTAACAGGAGAGAAACACATTGGCAACCATACAGAACACCCAAAACGACACAGAAA